CTCTGCCCCTCTCCTCAGCCCCCTTCTCAGCAACACCCGCACGGCTCGGAAGGAGCCTCACGCCTCGCTGGCGCGAGAGACCTCTGAAAGGGCGAACGATGTGCGGGAATGGTGGCGGCCGGGACGCCGAGGTCCTGACTGGGGGACCGCATCGAGAGGTCCCTGTCTCCGTCGTTTCCCTCGTGTCCCCGGAGTCCCCCGTTTGGGGACACTGAAGGTGTCAGAAGGAAGTGGGTCCATTTCTCTGCGCCGAAGTCCAGACCCACGCGCGCAGGGAGTCGCGGGTGGGCGCCGTGTTATCCTTTGCTGGGTGGGTGGTGACCCGCGCCTCGTGCACCGCTGCCGTGACCTTGCGCGGTGCCTGCTGCTCGCCCTGTCCCCCTTGGATTTTACCCTGCCGATCACCGAGGTACTCGGCCCGCTTGGACCTTCCTCGCTGATTCCTTTCTGTGTGTGCTGCAGTTTCTGGGCGGGTGACTCTTTACATGCGTCTCTCCCGTTTTCCTTTGTAAATGAGTTCTCCTCTTACCTCCCAGACCGACCGGGCGGACGCTAGTGTGAGAATGGCCGTGACTTTGGAAGGAGCACCGCGGCTGGGCTGGATCCTGGTGAAAGCCCTGCTGAGATTCGCCTTCATGGTCGCCAACAACCTGGTTGCTATACCGTCCTACATCTGCTATGTGATTCTGCTGCAGCCTCTTCGCGTGCTGGACAGTAAGCGGTTCTGGTGTATTGAAGGAATCATGTACAAATGGCTTTTGGGAATGGTGGCTTCCTGGGGATGGCATGCTGGATACACAGGTGAGACCAGGAGCACTTGTGAGTTTAATGCATATGAAAAGATAGTGTTATGCTTAAGACAGGAGCCATGATTGAATAGATGTTTGGCTTTGAGTGGGAGATGCTTTTATGCTTTCACTGTTGAAAAATATAAATAGAAAGCAGTCTTGTTGGGTTTCCTGTCAGACTGTCATTGAGGAAGCATGTTTTCACAGGCATAATTTATAATTAAAAATTGATAAATTCCTTAAATAATTTTTTTTCTTTTGGTACCTGGGATCGAACTCAGGACCTTGTGCTTGTGGGGCATGGAGGGTACCACTGAACTAAATCCCCAGCCCTTAAATAATATTTTTAATGTGATTGATGTTTATTTATTAGAACTGAGCTCCAGAAGCTCTCACAGAGGAAGGGGAATACGTTTCATAGAACTTGAGGTCATATAAAGTGAAGATGTAAGGTATTTAGCTCACAAACATTGGGACATTAGACCAGTGACTGAACTGTATTTGCACTGAGAGTTTGGTAAGTTTTTTTGCTTAATGTAATAGTGTATTGCTAACATTATAAACCAAGACAAAAAAGGGACTCTCTGTTCTGTTTCTTACAATCTATATTTTATCTCATGAAAGTATTACATCTTTTAAAATTAAGTTATCTGTGTTAAGCTAGTTTATCTCGAGTGTCTTTACATGTCTATTTCTTCTTTTAAATAGCATTTTGGGGAGCAGAAGTAACACTTCTGAATTGGATTTTTATGAAGCTAAATGAGAAGTGGTATTTATTTTCTGCTTGTAAACCTCATGTGAAAACGCAGCATCCTTTTACTTCAGTGGTTTTTTTGTTTTGTTTTGTTTTGTTTTTCTTTAAGAATCGGGATGATGAAGAAAACCTTGAGGTTTCTTGCTTGGCTTGTGGGAAGTGTAGGCTTTTATCACGGAGATGTAGCCTGCGGGCAGCAGATTCCTTAGCTGCAGGTTATACTGCAGATTCTGGGGTCTGGGTCTGGTCTGCTGTTCAGAGCTGGGAAGATTGAAGGGTACACACAGCAAGGGTCAAACAGTGCAGCAGTTCTCCATTTTAAATCCTGTCTCCCTCTCTCCCACCCTGGCTGCATCTGCCCCTGAGAAAAGACTGATAGTACACTGCGTTTCTGGAGCCTGACAGACAGTGGCTCTGTCAGAATGCCCTCAGTTGCCCCAGAGGGAGCCTTTCCCCTTGCGCCGCTGTTCACACTGTGCAGGTGCAGGGGCTCCTGGGATAGCGCGTGCCCTGCTTCCTTGTCCTGAATCGTGCGGAGTTTCCAGGGCTCCTTGGATGCATTAGGTGAGCCTGGTGGTAGCCGCAGCAGTGGTAGAGGATAGAAATGAAGTTGTAGTCAGCATTGCCAAATTTTGTTATCTGAATTGCACTGCTCTCTTGGAATCACTTTGCTTAATGCAGCTTGAGCTTTCTGAGATGTGCAGTGTGGTACCAGTAGCTTTATTCTTTGTAAAGTTTGCTTGTTTAAAATGAGCTCGTAGTCTTTAGAAACAGATTTTAGAAGTTTATTTCACTTAAACACAATGAAATTACAGAAATGTTTGTGTTCGTGTGTGTGTAATTGTGTCAGCATGATAGGATGGTGAAAAAAAATAATTTGCCGTTGACCTTGAGATTATAAGAACTGCAGTTTTGCTGGGTGAAGTTAGTTTTCCTGTGACTATAGCATGGTTGCATGTATGTTTGAATGTATTTCCCTGGAGTAGCTCTTTTTGCCACTGTAGAACTGTGTGGTTTCTTGTGCCACCTGCTTGGAAAGTGGTTTTGCATGTTTTAGTGTTCTTGAGGGTACTGTATTTTGACAGTTTGATCAGTTTCTCATTTAAATACAGATTTCAATGTGTACATTTTAAATGGCTTCCCATAGGTAGAACACTTGATTTCAGAGGGTATGGTCATAGTCTGATCGTAACAATATAGTTAGGAAGTCAAACAAACGGAATGGATTTTGGTGAAAGCCACAGTTGGGTTTAAAACAGACCTCAGGAGAAATTGATGAGCAGGTATACCCATAAAAAGCCTCAGGCTGGGTCAGCCTTTCTTTGGATTATGTATTTTATTTCTTCTCTTTGGGGCAAAAGGACTGTGTTCTTGTTACCATTTTACCCCTTTCCCTCTGCCAGAGTGTCACAGATGGAAAATTGAACATCGCCAAAGGAATTCGGCTTGGCAGGTCTGGTATAGTCATGCTTTACAATAAAAATTAGCAAAACTTTGTTGAGAAACCACTTCTGAGGAAGACTTGTATATTAAAGCTGAAAATTGGGCCAGGTGTGATGGCGCATGCCTGTAAACCCAGCACTCGGGAGGCTGAGGCAGGAGGATCGCTGTGAGTTCGAGACCAGCCTGGGCTACATAGTGAGTTCCAAGTTAGTCTCAACTACATAGTGAGACCCTGTCTCAAAAAACTGCCCCCCCGAAAAATGCTAAAATTGAATATTGGTATAGAACAGTAATTTTTCAAATTGTGACATTTGGTGTAGGACAAAACAATCATTCAGCTCTGCTGCTGAGTACTGGTGATTACCTCACCTACACTGCCCCGCAGGGAAGTGGCTTAATGAGACGTGGAAATTTGGCTCAGTCACACCAGCCACATCCAGATACTCAGTACCAGGTGCTTGGTGACCACTGGATCAGTGCAGATAGAGAACACTTTCATCACCACA